TTAATTTTACAAACGTCTCTTCAACTCATCCCACCTGTAAATGTACATCTATATCTGTATCTTATTCCTCTTTTATAACTATGGAACCTCGATTCCATCAAGTATGTTTGAGTTACTTGATTAGCCTAGAATGGATTAAGTACAGTGATTCGTCAGGTAATGCTGCTCCGCATATGCTTGACTATCGACGTTATGCTGGTGGTCAGTTTCGAACATTGGCAATGCTGTGTGAGCTTGCTCAGGATGCAACCTATGATGCTCGTGATATCTTTTTGGAAAGGCAGATTGTCAACTCACAAGTAATCAGTGAAGAATTATTTCGAACTAAAATGGACCACCTTATTGGAACTTGGAAAAAATCCACTAGCAGTCAATTTAAACGTAGGATGGAACTTATTCGAATTACTACAATGAGAAATCATTTGATGAGTCGTCCCAGTATTTATTTTCAAGCCAATTTAACTGAACGGAGCTTAATAAGTGAGCCTCGACATTATGGTGAATGTAATTGTGGTACAACGAATCACACATGTGTCGAACCCATGAAAATATACGAAACAGTCAAAAACAATCTTACAGAAAAACATACAATTTCTAATTTTTTTTTGGGTTGCTATCTGGTCGAAGCATTATTTTTGTCGACATTGGAATGTTTCTATAATGAATCATGCATGACGGATCTCCATAATTTTTTTCATTCGCCTCTTGACGAATCTTGGATCTTTCCAGCGCTTAATTCAAACCTTAGTCAAGCTAATGAGTCGATTGAATCAATTGTCGATGAATTGATGATTGATGATTGGTCAGTGTACATCAATTTTACTTCTTATTACAACAAATGCGCTCCAAGTACATGTTTCACCGAATACAGCAGTCGCCAAGGTCTCTTGACGATTGCCACCATTATTGCTGGTATTTTTGGTGGCCTATCTATTGGTTTTCAGCTATTCATCTGGTTTAGCCTTCGATTAATTGAAAAGTTCATCAACGGATTTTCTTTGAAACTATCTTTACAGTTTCTAAAACAGATTTTTGGCTGGAATAATCAGCAGAAGTTGACGCGTCGATTAAATATCATTCTAGTTATAGTGATTCTCTATGGTCTCTACATACGTCACGCTTTTCGTCCTAAGTTAATTGAAAAGAACTTTGAGAAACCATCACTAGCCGTTTATGAAGATCTAATCAAACAGTATCCCGACTCTCTGCAATGTTTTTGCTCAGAAATATCCATTCAACATGAGTCTTTTCTTAACCTAACCGCTAGTTTTCATCCACTATGTGACAGAGACTTGTATTCAGAAGTATTGGCCGCAGCCACCAATAAAACTATTATTATGTTGGCGTTTCTTGAACCACAATTTTCGTATTCAGGCCTAGCACAATTGCAAGCGATTCGGTCATTCTGTGCACTGTCTAAGGACACAGTATACGATTCAATCGATCAATTATTAGCAAGTCATGTAGTCAATACTGAGCTGTTATCTTTATCCTTATTCACCAAACAAATTCAAGTGAATATTGATGAAATTAATTCGACAGTACCTAAAATATTAATTAATACGTTTGCATTGACTCGCATGATAACAACTACAAACAAGTTAATGACTACCTATGGTAAGACTTGGGAATTCACGGTTCCGCCAAATCCAGTTTCTGGATATACTGCGCACACTGTTCCATTCACTAAAGAAGGATGCGACTGTGGATATACTTCGAGCTGCATCTGGTCTCTTTTTGGATTACCGATGGGTTGTTATACAATCGAAACTATCTCGCAATGGCCAGCCGACTGTCCCTTCGATCTAAAATGTTTGAAAGAAGCAAATATTTCTCAAGTATTCAATAGCTCTATTAATCCAAGTCGTTTTCCTTATAATTCAAGTATTGAATATGTTTTCAGTCAACTAATGATGGAAGAACTTATTGATAATGTATCCTATGAAGATTACTTTAATCAGTGTGCACCTTCTTTATGTGTGCATTCTTATATCAAAAAAAGTAATTTCATCGAAGGGATTACAACAATGATTTCTCTCTACGGTGGTGTAGTAATCATCTGTGAGTTCGTTGCGGTAGCCATCGTCAAACTATTACGATATCGATCAGTCCGTGTTACGCCAACGACAAACTAATCTAATAATAAACATTTTAACCTTTGCTTTATCTGATCGGTGTGCTGATGTTGGTGCAGAATTATACATATGACTTAAAAAATGACAATATGCTTTAACTGTCTTGAGGATGGGTGTAAATGAAGAAGGATTTATTTACTGTTAACGTCAACAGATGACATTCTATGACTCTAACCCTTGACTTGATCGGCATAAAGCCAATGTATTTTCTGTATCAAATAAATATTCAGTACTTTCGATAAAGAGTCTGGTATTTTAGTTTGACAAAGATATACACTATCAAACGCATATCAGTCATGAAGCTTCTAGTAGTGTTTCATGTACTAGCATGATGAACTAACAAAGATTTTCTCTCACAAACTTTTGACTAAGAATTTACAGCAACAAATATTGAAGAATATCTAACTATGTCTTGGTTGGTTTTTTACAATTGATACGTTTGATCTATTTTTATTTGAAATAATTATTTAACACAACTGAAATACATCTCAATCTACAAATAGATGAGATAGCTAAAATATCGAGTTTCTATCTTTTAATTCCTATGTAAAGTTTCTTGATACCTAAGTATTCTTACGATTACATGATGACAATTGTCAACAGAACATAATCGTTTATCATATTTTGTTATGAAAACATGAGTTGAAAAGTACTAGCTGCTGGCATAGATGTGGATGAGTATGATATACCTACACCCATCAGTAGTTTTGAATGGTGTGAACCATTTATTAAAATAAATGATGATTTGTTTTAGAAAACATTAGTTAATGTAACCTATTAACATAAAATAAATGAATGAGATGAATAATATGAGCTAGAAATGAAGAATGGAAGTAGTTCCTTAGTAATACAGATTTCATATGGTATAATAATTGTTTTAAATTGTTCTATACACGTTGTTTGTTTAGATAAGTTATCATGATAACATTTTCGAAAGTCTATTTATATTATCAATGAGTAACAGGTATTACAAAATACGAGAGAATTTCGTAATAAATGATTATTTCAACAGGAAACTCATTCTCTTTAATCTGATTGGTTAATTCAAACGTTTGTTTTTTTCATCAATGCATACATAGCTTAGTTCGATAAGCATATATAACATGAAAACAACATCATAAAATTGGGAAAGTATTAGTTATCAATATTGTTTTTCTCTAAAATATAAATATAATAAAAGACATTTGCCAAAAATCTCATTCTGGTATTTAATGGATCACCAATCGATAACGATAACTATTACTACTTGTTTATCTCTATAGAATATAAATCTAATAAAAAATTTTAAAATCTGTTTTTTAGATTGAATTAAACCTCTTGTCACATAATCATGTCGTCAAAAGTTACTCGAGTATGTCTCATACAAAAAAATCTAAATTTTTTCTTATAAATTTTCTTCTATGTAGGAAATGTTGTATGAAACAACACAAAATGTTTTAACTTATTCTAACGAAACAAAAAAACGTAAATTTGTTGAAACAGTTGAATTACAAGTTGTTTTAAAAAATTTCGATCCATCACGTGATAAACGTTTCAGTGGTACTGTTCGTCTTCGTTATATTCCTAAACCAAAATTTACCGTCTGTGTTTTGGGTGATGAACGTCATTGTGATGAAGCACGTGCTGCTGGTATTCCAGCAATGACTGTTGATGATTTAAAAAAATTAAATAAGGACAAAAAACTTGTACGAAAACTTTCTCATCAATATGATGCATTTCTTGCATCGGATGTTGTTATTCGACAAATTCCACGTATTCTTGGTAAAATTTATTAATTTTAATCATAATAAAAAAGAAATAATTTTATTCGTATTTTAAGGACCCGGTTTAAATAAAGCTGGTAAATTTCCAACAGCCATTACACACAGTGATTCATTAACACAAAAAGTTGAAGAAATTAAATCGACAATTAAATTTCAAGCTAAAAAAACCATCTGTTTAGCTGTTGCCGTTGGAAATGTAAACATGACTGTTGAAGAATTAGCTGCTAATGTTAATTTATCAGTTAATTTTCTTGTTTCATTACTTAAAAAGAATTGGCAAAATGTAAGAGCACTTTATGTTAAATCATCCATGGGTAAACCACAACGGCTCTATTAAACAATAAAAGTTGACGACACTAAAAAGAAAACAACGTCATTTTTGTTTTTTTTTATAAATAACATCATTGTTTTGTTTTCTATGCATGTGTTAATGCTAACAAGAGAAATAAAAATTTGCGCATACATTTCTATTTCAACTAATACACACATCTATGTGTTAGTTAGATTTATTTTAATCGTAGATAGTTTATTCACAAATGAATACCTATCGACAACATTCAGGTACGTCGAACAGGTACGTTGTTCATTGTATTATTTTTTGTTTGTTGTTCACATTATATTATTTTATATAATGATGATTTTCAAATATGATTATACTAATAATTATTGCATATTTCTAACTTGCTTAATATTGGTGAATGAAAATTTCTATTTTTTCTGTATATATGAAAATAAGATGATTTATATGAAATAAAATGATAGTAATGAAATAAGAAAAATAATTAAATTTGGTTTGTAACCGACAGACTAATCGGATATTATATAGAATAACATCCGCCTAAAATATTGGTTCTCTATATTTTCTTGCTGTTCGGAGTTGATCTGTAATAAATTGATGAGTATTACAGAATTGATAAAAATATCCTACAGCATAGATTCGAACATGAGTATTTTTATTTATCAATGTATTATACTACTCAACTAAATTTTTGACCTTTTAGTGATTCAGATAATGATGGTGAAAAACATCCAAAAATACCTGAGCGTCAATCATCAGTAACATCTAAACGTCGAGTAACTTTTAGTTCAAAGAATGTCAATGAAATATCATCACCAACGAAAGTACGTCCACGCCGTTTGCGTACAACAAGTCGTTCAATTGATGAACGTATATCATTTTGTGGTCGAAATCCAATTTATACCGCCGGTATATTTTATTTGATTTCAATGTCTAAAAAATAAAACTTCAAGTATTTAGGTCGTCCAGCATGGTATGATGCATCTGGTGAAATAAAAGAAGCATTTGTTATTGGTATTTGTGGTGGAAGTTCAAGTGGAAAAACTACAGTTGCAGAAAATATTGTAGAAAAATTAAATGTACCTTGGGTAACTCTATTAAGTATGGATTCATTTTATAAAGTAAACATTTTTTATAACCAAAAGAAAACAAAAAACGAAGAAATTTCTTTCAAATAAAGGTTTTAACTGCTCAACAACATGAACAAGCAAAAGCAACTAATTATAATTTTGATCATCCAGATGCATTTGATTTTGAATTACTTCTTGAAACATTACGAAATCTTAAAATGGGCAAACAAGTAGAATAATTTCGAAAAAATTCATAAATATTTAATATATTTTAGTTTAGGTTGAAATTCCATTATATAATTTTACTACACATTCTCGTGAAACATATACAGTAAAAATTAAAGTAAATAAATATTTATTTTTTGAATTTTTTTTTTCTAGAAAATTCTCTATGGTGCTAATGTTGTTATTTTTGAAGGAATTATGTCATTTGTTAGTAAAGATATTCTTAAAGTAAGTTACAGATTTTGGCTTTTTCTTAAAATAATTTATTTGTATATTTTCTATTAACAAAAGCTTCTTGATATGAAAGTATTTGTTGATACAGATGCTGATATTCGTCTTGCACGTCGACTTGAAAGAGATATAAGTGAACGTGGACGAGAAGTTGAAGGTATTATACGACAATATACACGTTTTGTTAAACCTTCTTATGATCATTATATTGCACCGACGATGGCTTATGCGGATCTGATTGTTCCAAGAGGTAATGAAAATTGAACATTCAGCCTCTTCTTTTCTTCGTCTGAGACTGAAATTAATAATATAAAATCAACAGAAATATAATTCATTATGCAAACTACACTGCATATAACTATTATTATCTAGATTTCCATTACATAGTGCTTGACGCAAGGATTAGCGTCATTTCTATTCTACCAAGACAAGTAAGGTATCACTGTACTCTTAGTAGTCTCAATAAAACTGCTCCTATCGACATCTAATAATCATATTAACTACGCAAGATGCTTTTTTTCCCATCGTTTATATTATTAACTTAGTCTTATATTTCTAGGTGGTGAAAATCAAATCGCTATTGATTTAATTGCAAATCATGTCAATCGAGAACTGCATAATGTAAAACAAAAAGGAAATAATTTTAAATATTTCTTTTTAATTTTTTCTTTATTTTTAGCGTGGTGTAAAAGTTCGAAATGAACTTGTACATCGTTCTGACATTATGTGTGATTTACCAATGCCTAGTACATTTTATATTATTGAACAGACAGCGCAAGTTAAATATCTTCATACAATTATAAGGTAATTTATATAAATAATTATCAAAGAAATTTTCTAGATTTTTTTGTCTCTATTAAAGAAATAAAGATACTGATCGTGATGAATTTATTTTTTATTCGAAACGTCTTATGCGAATATTATTTGAATATGCTTTATCTCTACTACCATTTGAAGTAATTTCTCTCTCTATATATACAAACAAATTTTCCTTATTTATAAAATATAGAATGTCACTGTTGAAACACCACAAGGTCTTATATATCATGGAAAAAAACATGTGTATTCAGATGTAAATATAAAATATATTTGTAAGAAGATAATTTTAATATCTATAGGTTTGTGGTGTATCTATTGTTCGAGCTGGTGAATGTCTAGAACCTGCATTAACTGAAGTATATAAAGATGCTAAAATTGGTAAAATTTTAATACAAACAAATCAACAAACTGGTGAACCAGAAGTAAAATTTCAAATTGAATTTTTTCTTTGTCTGATTCTATTTTTAAATAATTTAGCTTCATTATCTTCGATTACCTCGTGATATTGCTAATACTTATGTATTAATTCTTGATGCTACTATTGGTAATAGAAATCTCTTATTATGATTTCAAAAGCAAATATGTTTTTAATTTTAGCGACTGGAGCGGCAGCATTAATGGCTATACGAGTTTTATTAGATCACAATGTTCCACAAGAAAAAATTGCACTTCTTTCATTATTAGTGTCAAAACAAGGTTTGAATTATACAGTAGTGAACAAAAATCCCGATCGCAGTCATTATAGAATGCAGATCAGAGACAGAATTCTACCTTGAGTGCTTAAGGACATAGAGAATTATGATATATATAGCACTCATCATATTGCGTAAACTATGTTTCTTTTCAGGTAAAGTCCAGTGGCAAATTGTGGATTATTCTGCCACTAAGTATAAGTCACCATCGAATTTTCTAAATATAGTGTTATTAAATCCGATTTTGCAGAAGAAGTCCTGTCTACTATAATTCTGTTGATACTTAAGTAATCAAAATAGAATTATGTCTACACAGATTTTCAACCTTCTAGCACCTATCATAACTGAAATCATCTATGTTCAGGACTTTTGTTCACTACTAACAATATTAATAAATTTTATTCATTGATTTTCATTATTAGGAGTTCATACAATTGCATATGCTTTTCCAAAAGTAAAAATAGTTACAACAGCATGCGATACTCAACTTGATCATGATACGGGTTTTATATGTCCTGGTTTAGGGAATTTTGGTGATCGATATTTTGGAACAGATTTCATTGGATATTCATCGGATACAGATGATACACCGACTAGTATAAATGGAAATGGTAGTTTTCAACCTTGTACACCAGAATCACCTTTATCGGACTCAAGAAAATTTTTGAATGAATCATGAATAAAATCAAATTTATTTATTTATTTATGGGAATCATATATATGAAATGATTTAGAATTAATATTTAAAAAACGAAAGGAATATGACATCTATCTATGTATGCTTATAATTAAAAAGCATTCTTTTTTTTATAAATTGTTCAATGTGAATTTTGAGAAACAATATGTAATCTACAATCTCTTATTTTTCTCTGTTATGTGAATCAATCATCTGTTTTTGTTGTTATGTTTTATCTATTCTTCTCAATAAATGAATTAATGAACTAAAAATCGAGGCTTTCTCATGAAAAAATATAACTATGACAATGTGACATATGACAGGTAGATATAATTAAGTGTTGATGTAATCTATGTGTATAGGAAATCATTTGTTATAGATTATAAAATGCAAAATTTTCATTCATTTTTTACAAATTATCCTCCACCATCTCGTGAATTATTGATAAATGAAGGTTTGAAAACATTTGAACAGAATAAACTTGATCAACAATGGTTAAATAACTGGATTGAAAGAAAAAAACAAAATAAACTATTGTCATCATCAAATCAAATGACTTTGTCTGATTATCGTCAAAAATTAATTTATCATGCACAACTTCTTCAACAATATGAACATGCGTTGAATAATTCGAATCATGAAATTTTATTTGAACTTAAAACTAAAATTGAACAATCAAATAATTTTATCTATGATGAGAATAGAATTAAGAATATGAAAAAGAAAATTCAGCAAAGAAAATCTAAACGTAGACGTCTTCAACGACAAAAACAAGAGAAATTTATTGATATTAAACAGAATAGTATTGAATGTGAAGTAAATAATGACAAATCTGTAAATGAAAAAATTAAAGATATTAATTCACTTATTCAAACAATTGAAAAATTAAAACAATTAAAAACTATTCGTCAACAACAAAACGATGATATTAATAGTAATACTATAAATGAATTAACAGAAATTCATAATTTATGTACTTCGAAATTACTTGAATATCAAGTAGAAATGGAAAATAAATCTCATTGTTCTCATATTGATTTATATAATTATCTATTTAATAATCATAATCAATCATTTTATGAATCAATAAATTCTTATGCTCAATATTTTTTACGAGCACATCAAAATCTAAATGATTTAGTTACAATACGACAAGCATGGGATCAATATTCTACTACTCATATTTCATCCATGGATAATATTATTTCATATAAATGGCATGAACCACAATTACCATCTGATTCAAATTGGGCTCAATATATCTTTAATAATGAACAATGAAGTTTTACATAGACATATTTCGAAATAGTATATTAATGCAATTGATTTTGTAAAATTATTCATCTTGAACAACGCGTATAATATGCATAATTAAACCTTATTTTTTTTTCGGTTGATTGATGTAATACTTATCTAAACAGAAAATTAAATCAAGTGACTGATTATATTAAGATATACTTGATTTAAATAAAAACAACTTTTCTACATATATATATGTATATGAAATTTGAAATATCTATTTTTTTGTTTATCATGTTTACGGTACTTAAAACAACATGTGTATATAATGATGAGGAAACAGCTTGACTTTTATTTTTTATCGAATATTCATATATTAACAGAAGATCGAAATAATTGGCATATCGAAAACTTTTTCATAGAATTTACTCGTGCATATTTTATGAAACAAAAAATGCAATAAATTTATATTTGTTTTACTTGAATTATTCTGAATATTAAGTCTGTTTTCATTTTTTTTTTGAAAGTAGGATAAATCTATTTGATTGTTAAACTTATTTTTTAGTCGTACTAATAATAAAATTACCTCAAAAATTCTCCTTCATATTTTATTAATTATATCGAAATCTACAAAAGAAATGTCATCTGAACATAAGAATTATATAAGAATAAAAGACAACAGTTAATAATGAAGTTTTCACACGTCATCATGTCAAAAAAAAATACTTAAGTAATAAGAAAAATTCATTTTATTGCCTGATATAAGTATAAGAATAATTATTAAAACCACTATGGATTTTATGCTCAATATATCACACATAGTTCCATAATTCATTCATACATCAACAAAAAAAGAAGTCGAGTGTCACCACCCAAATTCTCCTACAATTAATTAATGCTTTATTAACTATTAAAATCAACCGATGTTTTATATGTCAGAATGAATTATATCATCTGTCTCATTTCATTTAGATAAAAAAACGAATCAGTTTTACTAATAATCTATTTTGACAAAAAAGAATTTTATTTTTATATGAATATTACTGAACTTTGATAATTCTATCAAGTTATATGTCTTATTTCCATAGTGTAGATCGTTGTTAAATTGTCGTTCGCTTGTGCCATCATTAAAAAGAAAACGCAATATAAACTTAACGGGGATGATGATGATGATGATGACGACAACGAGTAATATATGTATTTGTCAATTGAATTATGAATGTTATTGAGAAAAATTCACTCATCCGTTTGCTACAACCTCCATATTGTTTCGGCTATATATTTTTTTCTTCTCTCCTATTCTCTTTTTCTTTTTTCGCTATTTCTGAAAAAAAAACTACGCCACAGAGAAAATAGTAAAAGAGAGAAAATCATTATAACATACATTAATAAACCGAGAATAAGAAGGGAAAACTGTCGATTAGTTTGTTTGAGTTTGTTTTCGAAATAAAACAACTAGGAAATATTATAAGTTAAAGAAAAAAAAAACAATTACAATTATTTATCATTTATATATTTTGAATTAAAATAATGTTCTTTATCTATTATCAATCAAACAAAACATAATGGGTTGTTCATCATCGAAAAAAAAATTAACAAAAGCTGATCTAGCATTTCTTGAAGAAAATACAGAATTTACAAGAGAACAAATAACGGAATGGTATGAAGGTTTTATTGTAAGTATGAAATGAAAATTTTTTTTTTAAATACGTTAAAGAATATTCTTTCGTCTATGAACAAAAAAATAATCATATGGTTCATCAACACTATAAAATTACTTTTCCTGGAGGAGGTGAAAATGACAGCTGGCTTTTGTTAAAACTACTCGTGTGTTCTACTCTTTAGAAGCCGCATTTTTTTTCTTTCTTCTAATGACAGGACACGCAATGCAATTGACTTTATCAGTTTATTGTATTCTGATAGAATTCTTTCTTTTTTGTCATTGATTAACTAAATATCTTTTAGATTTAACAACCAATAAAAGAAAAATATGAATTTCAAATCGTTCAATAAAAACAAATATTAGTATTGATTTGAATAGCTATTTTCTTTTTTTGCTTTCCCTAAGATTTCTCGTTCATAAATCAAGTTGTTAACTGACGGTGTGTGTAAATATGTAAGAAGGAAGCACCGTCGAAAAATAACAATTGATATATATTGAAATTTACAATCATGTTTTTTTCCGGATCAATACACTTAGTATTACTCGTTATAATACTAGTTTATCGAAATACATAGATGATTGATTTCATAATACTCGTTAAATACTATTAATCTTTTTTGAATTTTGGAAAAAAAGATACATAGGATATTGTATGTTTACTCTATTATTTTTTTTTTTGCGATAATTACAGTTTAAAGAAATTTATTAATATTATAATAAACTTCCAAGAACATTTTTTCAGTTTTTAAGAAGTGTAGACTGTAGCGTATGAAATAGGAAACTAATAAAGAAACAAATGTCATGTTTTATAAAAAGAAGATCTAATATATCTTTTGACAGAGTCAAGAAATAATTACTTTGATTGAAATCAAAATATGATTCTTACGTTGATCTGTTATTTATATATTTAAAACTTAGCGAAGCAAAAGAACATTATTTTTGATATTTTTAGCTCGATTGTCCCACTGGTGAATTAACAAAGAAAAAATTTATACAAGTTTATCGTCAATTTTTTCCTAATGGACAAGCTGAAGCATTTTGTACACATATATTTCGTACATTTGACGCAGATAATTCTGGTAAAATTGATTTCAAGTAAGAATTATAAAAACAAAATTTAATCTGAAATGTTAATTTTTTTTTTAATTATATTTCTAGAGAATTTTTGATGGCAATTAATATAACAGGTAAATTATTATTTGATATTTTTAGAATTTTTTATTTAAATGAATATCAAAACTATTTAGCAAAAGGAAATCCTGAAAAGAAATTAAAATGGGCTTTTAAAATGTACGATATTGATTCAAATGGTAGTGTTGATCGACAAGAAATGCTTAGAATTATTGAAGTATAAGAAAATTTTGTTTTTGAATAATAAACAAATAGTATTTCTTTTGTATATAGTCAATTTATGATTTACTCGGTGCTGGTGTTGTAAAAAATGCATCGAATGGTGCCGTTGCAGGTCGTGATCCTAATGATACACCGGAAAGTCGAACAGCACAAATATTTGCAATTATGGTAAGATTGTTAATCGAAAAAAATTATTATTTCATTTTTTTTGTTTATTCTTAATAGGATGAAGATAATAATGGGTAAGAATTCTATATAACAATTGAGTTTTGTGTAATGTTGGATATTTTTCTTTTTGTATTCTAGAGTGATTACAGAAGAAGAATTTATTCGTGGTTGTATGGCTGATCGAGTTTTATATCAAATGTTAACTGCCGATACGAGTGATCCAGAACGATAATAATATGAATTAATGTTATTCTTTTTTCTTTCTTTTGCGCAATGAATACATGTGTTTATCTATCTTTTATTCTCAATACAATCGTTTATTTTTTGTCTTGTGACAGTCAGTTTATATATAAAAAAAAATACTTTTTGTTTATTTGCTAGTCGAAAAAATGAAATATATACGGTGGATAAAAATATTAGAATTAAATGAAAAAGAAATACCGATTCATTAGATCTACAGCGTGTCCCAAAAGTCTGCGAGAAAACTAAATTCTTTTAACTCCACTGTTTATGTTTTTCAATGATAGATATAAGTGTCAAGTTTTTATTGATGCGGAAAAACTTGGTAGATACTTTTTTCTTATCGCTTCAAGTACTGCGTTTTTTGTGGCGGTTAGATCAAGCTATAGTTTCCCTATTTATTTCGATATCTCACTCTAAAAAGAAGTCGAATGATATCAATTCCAGAGCTTATATGATCTCTTCACTTCTTTCAGATCATTAGCGATTTCATAATCTTTCTGGACATCGAATTTGGCAAGATTTAAATTTTTTTAGAGTGACATATAGAAATAAATAGGGAAACTATAGCCTGATCTAACCGCCACAGAAAACGCAGAACTTGAGGTGATAAGAAAGAAGGGCGGATTTTTATATTTTGATCGAAAATAATAACTGTCAACTTTTCCCGTAACAGTTAAGTACATCTTGTAGATCTAAAGAGTTTCTATTATAACTAGATGTTTTTTTTTTATTTAATTAATTATTAATAAGTTAACTATCTTGAGAGTAGAAGATTTCGAAGAATTAATAAATAATTCTTGATAGGAATATTATTCTTTGGAACGACTTTATTATATAAACTTATGCATAATTTAGAAACGAAAGACAATTTAATTAAATTATCTTGACGAGTGAATATAAACAAACTTCTTGACTATAAAATAAGCATATTCCTCTATTATAAATGTTACAATAATCGATATGGTTATCAAAATAATCATACGACATATTTTATAAGTTACAGCGTTATTATTGAATCATAAATAAAGTTTTATATCTTGTCACTACATTAACAAATACGTATACACATCAGACTGAGTGAACTTCTGTTATACAAGATATTTATAATATTAACGTTCGAATTTTATTCAGGGGAAGCGCAACAATAGTGTATCAAAGACAAGAACGTATGAAATTATTTGCATACAGGAAATTCTTTTGAATATAATTGTTACGTATCAATATACAAGGAAATACTTTTACAATTAACATTTTTCATTAACTTTGGAATATATATATTTAATATATCTTTGCTTGTTACAAAGAATGATATAAGTCATATTCGAAAAACTTTTGTATTTACTTACATATTAGTTCATGAAGTAATGTGATACATAAAAAAAGAGAACATAATATCATCAATAGAATAATAATAATGAGTGACATATATATGATTATGACAAGATTTCGAAGGTATATCTATTAAAAAGATACGCTTTGATATGCTGGCATTCATATTTTCGTATGAAATATTTTCTAAGAACACCATTTTAAATTAAGTACAGAAAATTCGAATGGCTTATTGATTAATGATGAATACAGAATTGTTCGAGAATAATCGATTATATCTTAAATTATTATTTTTCGGACATTACTTTGTAAACGAAACCATCGTGTAGTTATTGTTCAACTTATCGCAGGATTGATCTTCGTTTAGGTCTAAGCAGCTAAGGGGGCTAAGCAGTAGTGTCAAATACGAAAGTTAAATTCAAATATTCAAATATTCTAGAGGGTCGATGTAGGTGTGTGATGGATATAGAACCCATGCCCTTCTTTTACTTAACTTTGAAATTTTTACATTAAAAATATGTTTTTATATTTTGCAGGATTATTTCGATAAAATTATAAGAGCATAAATAAATATTTAAAATATAACATAAAATGAAATTAAGCAAATGAAGAAAAAAAAATAAACTGATATAGTAATCAAGATAAATATTTAAAGCATGACATAAAATGAACTTAAGTAAATGAAGAAAAAAAATAAAGCGATATATTAATCAATGATAAAATGATTTAACTACATAGTTTAACAATGAAAAATATATAAGAAAATCATTTTATTAGTATTAATGTAAATAATATGCAAGACAACATTGACTTAAAAGTGAAGTAGAAAAGTCAAAAATTCACCAGTCATCCTATCATATCTCTCCATTGTTGTTCATACCACATTTGTTTCGTATAAACGGGATGATCACACGTACAATAATCTTTATGAATATTGGTACAACAAATTTATAGACTGTTGTTAATCCTCCAATCAATCCTATAGTTGTTGTTATAATATAAATAATATTTCCACGGCTAACATATGTTGCTGTACAAACTGATGGTTGACATATATTAAAATAGTTATCATAACATGTTTGATTATTCCATTCTTCAACCATTAAATTTGAAACAATTTCTAGTAAAGAACTTTTTTCTTGATAATGACTTGCTGTTGAATTTAAAATAATATCTGATGCACTGATATTTACTAAAGATAAACTATCGATCAACTGTTGTAAACAATCAATATCGAAGAAACATCTTAGATCACTTTGTAAAACTGCTTCAACAAGATAACATCCAACAAATATACCTGAAAATAATGAAATATATATATTTTCATCAAGACATAATATTGACTTAATCAAAAGGAAGACTCTATAATTTCTAAATATTTGATAAATACGGTTTTTTTTTAAATTATTTCTGTAAAATGAATAAATCATATATTTATATAAAAATGGTCTTCAACTACGATTTTGTTAAAAAAAGAAAGGAATCCTTAGAGAATTGAGTTCTTCTGAGATAAAGGATTTTCCATGAAAAATAGGTCTACATTTATTACGATAAAAAGTAGATTTTCACTAAGTTTGCTCTGTGAAAGTTTTGGAAATCAGAAAGTTTTCTGAAAAATCCAAAATGAAGAGAAAAAAAATAGAGAAAAGGTCTACATGTGTCGTTTTCCAGCAACCATATAGGCAAATGTTGCTTGTCACAATACTGATGATAATGAGTAAAAATAGAAAAAAACAACAATAACAATTTTTTCAGTCATATTTATGTTCTCAAATCTATTTCCTTTTACATTTATACAGTTATAGACATATATAAGAAACTTTACCTGGTGGAGAAAACAGTTGTGTTATTGTATCTAAATCATAAACAATTGCTTGTTGAATACACCATGGTGTACTTTGACAATCACAATCAATTCCAGTTTCATTTGAATTGTATATTTCATCTACTCGATCATAAATTATTTGATATTGATATTCAAGACCTCGATAGTTCGCATCATATAATGGAGTTGCTAATGAAAACAATGAATCTGATTGAAATGCAGAAGCTAACATACTCGATGCAGTCATATTTTCCGCAAGAAAGAGTGAGTTAATAAATGAACGCGCTGTATTTTGTAATAATTGATTAATTAATTGATTTATTTGAATTTGAAATTGTTCAAATGTAATTAAATTTAATGTAATAAATCTACTTGAATAAAATGTTGTTAATTCTGCATTGATTGTTTTCGGTGATAATTTACAAAATGAATTCAAAAGTTGAAAAAATGGACTTCCAATTTGTCGAAAATCATCTTTCCGAGTAGAATATGTTGGTACAGCATTGTTAATCATACCAAATGGTGTTATTGTTTGTGGATAGTCAATTACAAGCCATTGTGAAGTTTCATCAACAAATGTACTTGAACAAATTGAATGTAAATGAGGTCGAAATGTAACAAATTCTTCATATGTAATTGAATATGTTTCACATGGACATTGAACAGTATTTGGATATTCTTGATAAAGTTTATTAAATTCAATAATTGTTGGATTATTCTTAATAATCGTATGTGTAACATTTTGAAAAGAAACATAAAATACTAAAATAATTAAAGTAATTAGAGTAATTATAAGAAAAAAACGTGTTGAAAGACGTTGTTGTTGTAGTTGTTCTTCAGATCTCTTGTTTCGGTTTTTAAATAAATTAAATGTTAAAATACTTAGTTTTAATTTCTGCCCTATTGTTCTTGTTGGTATATCTAAAAAACCATATAAACAATTAATTATTATTCATTTTAAAACAGAAATATTTTTTAGTTTCAGTGTTTAAAAAATGGTTAATAAGGGTTGTGACATTTCTTATTTTGCATATATTTCGACATGAGAAAATGACAACATGTTGATTATTTTTTGGAAAAGATGCCCCATGAAAAGGTGTACTAAAATCACACAGAAAACTTCTTCTTGACTTATTCTGATGGCTTTCCTATACTTAATATGAAAGACCTATATATTAGTACTTTATCCCATCATAATAAAAATATTTAGAAAAAGTTTTCATGTGTAGTAGTACTTTTTTTATAGTGTATGTTTTCAAAAATCAACATTCTATCATTTTCTTTTGTCGAAATATATGCAAAATAAGAGATGTCGCAAAACTATCTAGATATTCGATCAAAAACGACTACATCAGCAAAATTTGAAATACTTTTTTTGGAACTATTCTAGTAGGTATTTAATCACGACAGACATCTCTGATCTAATATCAGTTCTTATGTCGAAGTCATTTCATACAAATACTTATCTTCAACAGAAGACTTTCCATTCTTGTGATAGTCTTTTTGAAACAAAAGTTTTAAGTAATCAAATATTACAAAGTAAAATTAATAAGAGTTATCATGAATAAGATGAAATTATTAAATATGTAATGATTTTATACGATTCTTCTATATTCAAGAGTCTTTTTAAAATAAATTTTAGGTACCTTGATTAATCATTGATTGATTGGTATTAATTTTTCTTTTTTGTCGCCATCGTCTAATCATTAATACAATAAATGGAATTATTATTTTTAAAATAGTTGTTAATCCACCAATTAAACCGAATGTAATTGCAATTACATAACTAATATCGCCTTTAACATCATATGAATATGAACATAAATATGGATTACATTGTTTATAATAAAACTGAAATGATGTTTCATTATTCCATTCTTCAATCATTAAATTATCAATAATATCTTGTACACTTGTTGTTACATTATAATGACTGCTATTTAATTGCATAGCAGTTGCATTAAATGGATAGTATGATGTTAAATGTATTAAGTCATAGATTGTTTGTAAACATGTTTGATTAAAAAAACATTCAAAATTAGAACGAAATATTGATTCACTCGCATAACAACCAACATAATAACCAGGAACAGTAAATAGATTGTATAACGGCGAATCACGAACCTAGAAAGCAATATCAACTATTTACTATAGGAAATATCTAGTAATAGTAAGACTAGATAAGTGTGGAACTGGAACCAGTATCAAGAAAAACTCGACCATACTCGAAATTTAAGTGTGAATTTATATCATATTTTAACTCCATTAATACTGAAATACAATTTTTGTCGCGTGACATCAATCATTTTATTACTGTCAGCTTAATACCTTGTTATACAAAAAGAAACTCTTTACAGGGACCGAAAAAGCATGGTTTCACAAATGTTTAAGTCGAACTCTTTATTCATACTAAACTTTCTTTTTCCATTAGTATTAAATAATTTCATAGAGCAGAATATATTCTTTCAATTAAAAAATATAACTTGATTCGAAATATATATTTACGGCAAGGTAATTAAATAAAATGTGAAAAATGACTGAAAATATTTTTATTTAGCTCAGCGTGAAGTATACATCATTTGACGTGGTTTTTCATAATGGTTACGAATATGTTATTGATATTTCATTTCACTATTTGTGTAAAATCTTAGGAAAGAAAATCAATCAAAGCTAATGCTAAATGCAGAATAATAAAATATGATATATGTTGCTTTAAAGTGTAAACATAAAACAGGCAACGGACATTCTACAGAAAATGACTTTTTTTCTTTGGCAAAATTTTTTTTATCCAATATTAAATTTTATTTACCGTGCCGTTAACATAAGTGATGTTAGATAATTCATTGCATGTAGTTGGATGGATTTTACATGAACATGTTGTGTTAGAGCTAGAGTGATAAATAAGTGGGAAAAATACAAGATTTATTGTTGAGTTACGATTATAATGAATCGTCGGGTCAGGTGCATCGTAATAAGACACAGTAGAAAACAATCCATTTCCCCAAACTGTTTGACGTAACATTGAAATTGAAAGTTGAAGTGAATTCACTGTTGTCTGTTTCATATTACGGATGAGCTGTTGTGTTTGAGAATCAAATAGATCTATTCCTTTTATATATTTTGAAACATATTTTGTTGAATTGAATATGAGTATTTCATTATTGATTGTTTTCAATGATAGTTGACAAAAAGATAAAATAATTGGAAAGAATACTGCACTGTTGTAACGAAAATCGAACTGATTTAGGTCTTCGCTGTTCGTTGTGTGCAAATAGTTAGTCCAGTTATCTGTAATAAAATCTGAATGACAAACTGGATGTTGTGTAGGTTGAAATGATATGAATTGAGACTGTTCATTCGTAGTTGACGAACATGGACAGGTCAATGTTTGAGGATATTTACCTTGAAGAGTGAAATAAACATCGATCGAGGGTTTATTAATGGTGATCGTTTTTGTAACAGAATATGTGGATGCATAGAGAATAAGTATAGAAAATGCAATAATTATTGAAACGATGAAGAATCGAGTTGAAAGACGTTGACCATATAAGTGCCATTCACTGTTTTCATCTGAATCTGAGAAAAAGTTAAGGTCGAGCAAAAATATTTTTATTTTAACAAATAATGAAACTTTTTGCTCAGTGATATCACCAACAGCTTGCCGTTCTATAAAAGAATAAAAAGAAAAACATAATTAATATGATGATCGGAAGTATAGCCGGGGGGAGAGCAAATAGGCAATTGCACATTCCATTTTAGCGTTTGTCCATCGTAATTTTGCACTAGTAAATCACTGTCTACTGAATCTTCATTCTTTTGCAATTGCTGTACTGATTAGTGGACTACTTACTAAAAGACTTTCTCTTCCGTCTAATTCATTAAATATTTTATGTAAATTCGATGACATTAATCACATTTCTTTTTTTTTGTTACCAAAAGAACTTATTTTCTTTTTTTGTATTATGTTATTTCCACAACTTTTATCCTATCGACAAAAACCAACAGCTCACTAGTGTTAGCAGACAATGGTCAAGGACTTCAGTTCCTTCTTTCCTTATCGAATCTCTATGCCCTAACATCTGACAGAGTCTTCCTAGTTAATTTCTAACATCCTAGTTACAATACGTACCAATATTAGTTTCATGTGGTACAACTTCTGATAATGATAACAATCGGCTGACAGTTTTAACTTGTTTTCTTAAGAATTTCACTGCCGGTAATATTATGATCATAAGAACTGTTACAATTCCACCAATAAAAGAAATAACAGTCGTAATAATAAAAAGAATATCAAACTGATGAGTATAAGTATATGTGCAAGTTAATGGATTGCATGCACTGAAATAATGTTGATAAGATGAATTTAGTTGCCAAGAATCCACCATTAATTTTTTGGCTGCATCATTAATGGTTGGAAGAGGTGAAGCAGAAGAAGGCACTGCTAAAGGTGTTGCATTAAATGGATAAAGTGAATCATTTAAATATGTGTTTAGTTTCGATAAACAACTTTTACTATATAAACATGACAGATTTGATTGAAGAACACCATTGAGTATGGAACTACCTACAAGTACACCTGGAACTTCGAATTGTAATTCTGCTCGATGTGCTATTCCCCAGTATAAATGAGATGATGTCTCATTGGAAAGTTTTCTTAAGTAAATACCTGATGTTGTAGTACAGTATGGAGCGTCTTCCGGTGCACAATGTCTATCTAACCAAAGTGTTGGTGACCAACCTTGGTTTTTTCGGCTGTAGTTCTGGTATAAATCAAGAAAATATAGCCAATTTGTGTTTAATCGATTCTGTACCTTATTATTAACGAATCCCATTAATAGAACTGAGTCAAGTATAATTATAAAATCATTTGCACTCGTAGCTATAAATTGATCACGAGTTGCGTTTATATTAGCTAAAAAAATATCTTCTGAAATGGTATTTTCTGTAAGTAAAATTGTAGAATAAAATGAAATTAATTGATCATCAATTGTTTGTTTAGCTAATACACAAAGTGTACGTAACATATCAAATAATCCATAAGCTGTATGACGAAAATCCCAATAAAAATGATATTGTGTTTCAAGAAATAAACGATAATTAACATAATTGAGCCATTTGTCACTAACAAAATCACCTGAACAGACTTGATTGAAAGTAGGTGTAAATGATGAAATGAATTTGTTGTACTCATTAGAAACACTTGTACATGCACATAATAATGTATTTGAATATTTTTCTTCTAATTGTTTATAATCGGATAAAGACGGTTGTTTAATAACTACCGTATTTGTTATGGGAGCCAAGGATGAATAGAGAAAGAGTGCAACAATTGATATTGTAAACAGAATAAGAAAAATAACTGTCGATATTTTTTGATTTTTGATATCTTCTTCATTTGTTTGATCAATATCTTGAAATAAGTTGATGTGTTTAATTTTAGTTTTAAATTCTAAGAACCAATTCCACGGCATTGACAGGATGATTCTAAATAATACAAAAATTCTTCTTTTTTAACTTACAGTAGCAACAAAAAAAAGGAAAATGTTCAAGTTACATGCTATTTATTTTATTTAAAAAAAGCTTTTTCTTTCTTTCGTGTCTTTACTCTATAGCTTTTTCATCATTTGAATGAAATAAGTTGATGCAAACATACATAAAACATTGTTTTGGTACATAGAACGTAAATTCCTATTGCAGATAACCAAAAAAAAGTTACAGTACAGTACATCCCTCCAATTCTCTCGAAGGAATTTTACCTTTTTTTTGTTTCAACTCGTGTGAGACTATTTCACATCTGATCAAAAATATTTTTATATTCCAATATTCTCATCTTTTCAATGGTATATTTTTGGTCTTTCATCTCTCATGTTTTTCTAATGAAATTAGCGGTCTACGATAAACACTTTTACCCGACAGAACTAGGAGGTCTTTCCTAATCCTGTCGAAAAGCAAGAAAAATGTCCCAGATTCTGAATAATACTTCACCACAAAAATAAAAATCATACATGATACCTCTCACCCCTGAGGTACGCCTCAGGTACCGGAAAAATAATCAAAACGTAATTTTATACTTCCAGAACTTTTCTATTATTTGATCGATTTTGAAAACTAAAGTGGCACTGTTAATTAGTATACTGAGTTCTATCGATATGTACATAAATGTCGAAGATCGGTGAAAAACGTGCTTTTTTCTGATGTCTGAGATATAGCCAGCGATGAGAGATATCATGTATGTTTTCTAATTTTGTGATGAAGTGTTGCTCACAACAACGGCTGATTGTTGTAAAATAGCATAAAAAAAGATGATGCTGACAGAATTAGAGGCAAAAAACTGACTAAAGCTCATAATTAGGTATAAATATCTGTCGACAGAATCAGGGACAAAAATTGGCTGGAGTGTCAAAACGAGAGACAAAAAATAGCTGGACGGCACAATTAAGAAAGTACCTCTTAATTCTTGAGGGTAAAAGTGTTTGCCGCAGACTGTTAACATCATTAGAAAAACAAGACAGATTAAAGACGAAACCTATACCATTAAAAAGATGAGAATACTGGTGTATAAAAATACTTCTGATAGGATGTCAAACAATCTCACACGACTCGAAACAAATAAAGGTAAAATTCTTCCGACAGAATTAGGGGAATATACTTTACACATTCCTAATAATACAAATAAAACTGCCGACCGTCTCAGCATAATTTACAGTTAATTGTTTAGATTTACAGCATACTTTTCTACACTTGCAAAGCCAAGAATATATATCTACTAACAGGGACTCGTCCAAAATACACGGCAGCTTTTATCGATAACAGTGTTTTTCATAAAACGCAAGTCCACTATCAAAGATGCGCTTAAAACCTATACCACTAACACCGAACCATTTCCGCTCTCTCTCACCTACTCCACACCTATTCCATCGATTAACACCCATTCCCATGCACTTCCACCGGATCTTATCCCATCTTACTTGTTTCCACTCACACCCTCCAACCGGATTTAATCCATTTCCACCAATTGCTGACCTATTTAACACAAGTCTACCTACTTTCATTCAGTCCTACCATATTTCACACACTTTCACTCACTCCAAACCTATTTCACTCATTTCCTCCAAATTCTATACCATTTCAAACAATTCCACACAATCCATCTACCTTCACCCACTTTTACCCTATTTCACCTATCTCCACTCACTACTATCTTATTTCAGCCAGTTCCACCAAGCTTAAACCTGCTTCACCGAGTTTTGTCCAGCTTAATCCTGTTTTACCTACTTTCACCGAGCTTAACCCTGTTCCACCCAGTTCTACCCGGCATAACCCTATTTCACGCAGTTCTACCCATCTTAACACTGTTTCACCCAGTTCTACCCAGCTTCACTCTATTTCACTCAGCTCT